ACTTAACGAAAACGTAGTGAAAAATATATGCACCAAATGAAAGAGGGCTATAATAGCAGTTGATAAACCACAAAAATTTTAGTCTGAGCTGTTCAATTCTCAAGACAGGTAACATAACAAAAAGAAATGTGAGCAAGATGGAAAGAATTCGGTCCCTTGAACATGCTGCATTAATTGTCAATATATTGAGCTAGAACAAAAATCAGCCGAAAAGTCTATTCCTATTGTACTACGACGCCTTAAAAGTTTTTCTCGTAGATTTTCAAATAGTAGAAAAACTGTTTTATAAAAAAAATATATAAGAAATATTTTGCGACCCAATAACTTGCCGCTCTCTACACAAAGCTACAGTATCATTTAAATAAATATCAAGCATTTCAAGGCCATGAAAAAACTACAGCTAACTGTCAGTTGCATGCTACCAAATACAATGATATTGCCACTACTCACTGTCATTGTCACATAAACGCCACACTTTGCCATTAAGGCAGCGCACACACTGTGGTCAAAAGCTGGTACAAAAATAAAAATAAAAAATACAAATAAAAACAAATTTAAGTCAAAGGAGTTTTCAGCTTAAATCTTTTGTTTGTTACATGAAGCAATAACCAAGCGGCGCATACATGGCACAACAAATGGAGAATAAGCCGTGAAAAGAAAACAAATGAGCTGCATAAAAATAAAGTGGGTGCCACGGCAAGATGTCGCTGTGACTTTTTTAGTTAACTTCGGTTTTTTAATTTAATTTTATTTTTTATTTAAATTTTTTTTTATTCTTTTTTTAATTTGTTTTTTATAATTTTTTTCATTTACATTTTTTTAATTTTATTTTTTATTTTTATTTTTAATGTTCTTTGTTTTGCTGCCATCAGCCACAGCTCGGAAACAAATGTGTGGCACATTGGCTGTCGATATTTACACCAAGCGCAACAACAACTCTAACTGTGCGCCACTCCAATGCGAACTGAGTTGAGGCAATATCTGATTTTGTTTCTCCTATTGGCATTTTCTTTTTGTATTTCTTCTCCTTTTTATACCCTGAACAGAGTATATTAAGTTTGACATGAAGTTTGTAATACCCAGAAGGAAACGTCGGAGACCCTATAAAATATATATATAACGACGAAATATCTTCACGAAAATTGGAACAATGATCTGTTGTCTAAGGCAATAATAGAGTTTCCCAAAAAGTTGTTGATATAGAATCACTATAGCATAGTGCTATCATACAAGCTGAACGATCGGAATCAAGTTCTTCTAAGGAACCTTTTGTTTTTGTGAAGGGTATTATAGCTTCGGTGCAAGTTAACGTTTTTTCTTGTTTTGTGTTTGTTTTCGTTGTATTTGCCATTACTGTGCTTTAATTTTGTGTGGCAACGTAGTTCTTGTAAAATTTATCTAGATCTTCTTGAAACAAATAAACAAATGAGTGTGCTTGGCAACAAAAAAAGAATTAACGTTAAGTAAAAAGCACATATAGAAGTAAAATTGCATTGAAAACAAAAGTAGCAAGTAACAAAATCGGCAGTGACAAATAAAGTCAGACAAAAAAAAAACATAATGCAATTTCAAGGCGCGCAAATGTGAGCGCCACAATTAAAAGTGCCAAGTAGCTGGTTTGTGGGTTTAGCGGGAATTTGTTTTTTCTACATGTTGCTAAATTTTTTATTTTATTATGTTTATATATTAATTTTTCATAGTTGCCATAAGTTAGCTAATCACAGCTGAGCGGCAACTGCCTTGCAAACTCGTCGAAACATTAGATATTTAAAAGGTTGAAGTCGCTCAAGTATAAACATTGTATTTGACAGTTGTTTATTCTTGGAAAATAAGTTGGAAAGTTAATTTTATTAAAAATGTAAAAAAATTTTTTTTTATTAAATTGAACAACCCATTGTCTCGATTTTTATTTTCATCTTATTTTCATGCTATATATTGCATTTTGTCAATATGACCTTAAAGTAAAACAAGGCTTGCTTGCATTTAATTACGATTGTTCTCAATGATTGCATCGAATTCTGATTAAATACTATATATATTTGTATACACATATACATACATTTTCGTATATATTTACAAATAGAATACTTACAAATTCAAAGCTTGTCGATTTCAAATCAATAATAAAACTGTTTTTTAATAGTGCTATACAAAATCAAGTTTGTATCTTAAGTCTTTTGTCAGGCGGTCATTGCTAATTTAGAGCAATATATATAACAGTAAAACAAACCAACCTATAAGAACACACGTATTTATATGCATTTAAGAATCGTTAATCAACGCTACCAAAACTTGTCACTAATGCGAATGTAAAATGATTTTTATTAAATTGGCGTAATGTGGGCGAGTAACAATTGGTTTTGAAAGTTAAGTAAATAAAAATACACTTATTGAATGACATTGGCATTGAAAAAAAAAAAAATAAATACGCTACAAAAAAAAGTAATTACGATAAAATAAATAAAAATATTATTTTTCTACAAAAATTAAAATGCTTAAAAAAATATTCTAAAAGTATTTCGCAGCATAATTCGTATTTTCCTTTATATATAATTATTAAATATTATATTTATTATAATACAAAGATAAACATAAAAGAATGCCTTACAATTTTTTTATAAATTATTTGTGGTGTATTAGACAGAGATGTAAACAATTTTTTCATAAAAATATAGGCATCTATATCTATATAACCCAGACTATCTTTTATTAATATTATTTATTTAAAGTTATAATCTTCCAGAATATTAAATATAACATCACCAAAATCGTTTTCAGGCGCTCAGACATGGCCTGGATTATATTCAATTTTAATAGATGTAAATATTGAAGAATCGGTTTTTAGAAGGACCTTAAAAAGTTTTGTTGTAGTCACGCAGCTCTTATCGTCACAAAATTTATATGCAAGCATCTGTCCATCATCATTATGTGGGATATTTTACTAAATATAATATATATATATACAAAGAATGTTATCAAGATCCAATGTGGACGGATGCTGACTAAAGCCCTGGGCAATCGCCCATCAAAATTGAGGACAGTAGGATTCTGATTATGGCGTACTGGGAACCCACAACGGATTAGTTTGACAAAGGGCTGGTGCGAGCAGCATTCTACCACCTCAGTAGGTAAGAGTGACATCTTACCGAAATGGCTGGCAGGTTAATGCTGTTCTCATTTCCGTCCCGTTAAAACCCTAGCAGGTCTTAAAGTACGTTCAATGCACTTCGCCATATTTTTTGACTTCCGAGCCAATAACCTCGAAGCGGCACGCGACATGTCCTGTGGAGCCTCGAGTAACAGTGCAACCACGAAAGAAAGTGGATGGCCAGGGGCAAAAAGTTTTATCTAAAAGTAAGAAAGAAACGCAAGCAGAAGGAGCTAAAGTGGTGGAAGCACTCAAAAACACAGAAGAGAGACAAGGGGAGAATTCAGCTGCAGGTCAGAGAGCATATAATAGGCCCAAGCGACAAACAAAGGCCGTGATCATTAAGCCAGCAAAAGGCAATAGATACGCCGAGATTCTTAAAGGTAAATCTGAAAGTAGAGAAGGTTAAGATTAAAGGGATCAGCAAAACAAAAACCGGGGCACTACTATTAGAGCTGGAGAAGGGACAGACTAAAAAAGCCAATTTCTGTGAGGCACTCAAGAACACCATTCAAAAATCCGCAACTGTGGCCGACCTTAAACCAAAGCCTACTATAAAGACTAGAGACAGGCACTTAACCTGGGACTGACCCAAAATGGGTGACTGTTTCATTGAGGGAAAGGCATTTTCCACTACCTTACCCGAAAACAAAACAATAGATAAAATCGGGTCAAGACTTGTCCTATCCCCCCATATAAGTAATATCAGGATTTTGCTTCTTATATTGTTGATGGTATGTGAGGTACCGTAATGAAACACAGAGAGCACATTTTTATAATATAAGTATTTCAATAATATGTAGTAATGTCAAAATATAAGATTTTCGAACTTACGGTTGGCTTTACACCGTCCGAATCACCCAAACTCCCATATACATACATATAATGATTTTATACCGAATCTGTCGGTCAGTGTATGAGTTATTTATTTATAAATTGCTTGAAAATTCAATTGCCTGAGCAATGTCAAAGGTTTGTGCAATCATCTCAGACCTTTTTTGCCCACAATATACACTATATAATTATTAAACTAATTTAGTCTATGACCTATAAAATAAGTTAATAATATACAAATTTGTTTGTAATTCATTCACATACATACTCATATAAATACTTAATATTTTTCGCGAAATTTTTTAAATAAAATTTTGCCAACACCTGACCAACACCGGTATTTCTCCGGCTTTGATTCTGGTGAGTTGCAAGAGTATGAAATGTTCGGTTACGCTCGAACTTAACCCTTCTTTACTAGTTTTTAGGCTCTACCTGCCTCGGTCTCTTCAAAAAACTTAAAAGCCAAAATCAACAAAAGCTTAAAGTCAAAATATGCAGCAATTATGTGGACATCACCACATCTTGTTGCGTAATATCAAATGACGTCAAATAGGTATTATCATATGATACTTAAAAGGATTAAATGCATATGGAAGAGCCTATGGTGATTTATAGCAATATTCATTACTTTTTAATACTCTTTACCAGAATAGTATTCTATAGGCCTAGTGATAACTACAAAAAGCAGAAAAAATATCGAAAAATAACAACAAAATGTTTTTAAAAGGGCAATTAGCTTCTACTAACGTTATAGCAGTCAACCATTTGTTGTTTTTATTGTCAATAATAGCCATTAAATAATAGAAAACCAAAACAATCTGCCAAAAAGCCTAAAAAGTTTGCGTCATCCGACTTTGTTTGGCTATTTAAATTAACCTAATAAATTTTTAGTAAATTTACTTTTAACAAAAATAACAAAAACAAAAGCTGAGATGCGTGATTTTCGGCACAAGTGATTAAATCGCTGAAACGCGATTTGAAAAGCAACAACAATACTCGTAAGAAGTTTCACACTCACCTGGTAAACATTGCCGATTGTTGTTGTTGCGCTTGCGTTTGTTGTTGTTGCTGCTGTATGTTAACATGCTGTTGATGCGCATGCTGTTGTTGCTGTTGCTGTTGCTGGTGTGGGTGTTGCTGCTGATGATGTTGTTGCTGTTGTTGTTGCTGCTGCTGCAGCACGGCAAGCGTTGACTGCGACTGCTGATGCGGATGTTGCACTAAATGTTGCGCAACATGTTGCTGACTAACATGCGTTTGTGGTTGCTGCTGCTGCAGGTGCTGTTGCATTTGCATATGTTGCATGTGTTGCGCGTGCAACGTGTGCAGATGTGGATGCGCCAGCGCATGTGTGTGTGCATGCGCATGCATCTCCGCTATGGGCGTAGGCAACATCGCCGTGGGCGTGCCTGCGCTCAACGCTGTGGGCTTCTCTAAATGTTTATCCGCGTACATTTTGTTGGTGTTTGTGTTTTGTGCTTTTCTATCTTCTATTTGTATTAATGGGCGTTTCTGTGATTTGTTGAACTCGTCACATTTGTAGTTGTTAAGATGTCTGTAATGATTGAATATATTTTATATATAAATATCGTTATGATTTATGTGAAAGGAAATGAATGGCACAAGCTAAAATAATATTTAGGTAAATAAAGTTTCTACTATTGAAATGCGGCTAAACCTAAAAGCTAAAAGGTGGCACGTTTGGAATACCAAGAAAAATGCAAAGTCCTCCAGCAGTGTTGATTTTCTTATTGCAAACAAAAATTTCACTGTTCGATCATGATGACATGAAACCTTAATCAATTTCAGTCCAATTTACTAACTTAGCGCAGAGTTTCGTAAATGAGTTTTTTAGAAGACCTACGAAAGCATACCTGAAGCATCATAAAAAGTAAAGAAAAAATATTATTATAGATGTTTAAAATCAATAAAAAGACATACCTAATAATTTATCATATCTTACCCTAACCTGCTTCCATACACCTACTATAATGTATTTCGTCCCCGTTGTTAACTTTGCTCCGAATAAATCAATTATTTTAGTAAACATATACTAATAATATGAAATGAGAATGTTTCACCAATAAAATAAGTTGTTACTAAAAATGGCTGAGAACGATCCAATCGAATGAATGTAATGTTTTCGAAATCCCATATATGGAATATACTGACTTCCGGCTATCCACTTGACTGGGAAGTAAATCTTATGCACTGAGCAAGATAATGTCAATAAACTATGTACGAACTTTTAGATCAATATTTTACTGGAACATTGTTGTAATTGGCAAGCAGTTCAAATGCTAAGAGCATGTGTTAGTTATGATGTAATTATGTGTTTTCAGCTATATTTGTTGAATTGAGGAGTGGTGAGTTTCTTTTATCCTTATATCTTACCATCTTGGTCGATATTTATATGTTTATGTCGTATTTATCTTTTGTTTTGTCCGTCTATCTCTATACACATAGTCTAGTCCTTCAGTTTTTGAGATATCGATCTAAAATATTGCACTCATCATTTTCTCCCCAAGCAATTGCTCATTTGGCGGAACCTTATAAGCTTATATAAGACTATACTATAGCATACAGCTACAAAGTGATCGATCAAAGTCAAGCCCTTTTATGGAAAACTTTTTTATTTAAGAAGCTATCTTCACGAAATTCGACTTAGATTACTGTTCAAGGCAGCGATATATGTTAATATTTGTTCAGATCGAGTCACTATAGCATATAGCTGTCACACAAACTGACCTCAAGATAAATATCTTTTGGAGTTTACGTGCCTTCTTGTTATTATTTTCAGTTTAATATTTGTGTTTAATTTTATCTCATCCTCATTTACGAAAAAAAAACTTTTCAACAAAGTAGAACTTACTGAAACAAAATGTATACTTTAACAGAAAGATGAATGAAAGAAGTATCTCTCTTTTTCTAGAGAAATTTTGTTTCAAAAAATATATAGTGTATTTGGGACATTAGAAACTAAGTATAACCAAATTTCATAAAGGAAAAAAAAATTTCGTACAAGTTATAAAAAAAAACCTAAGAACTAGGTTATTTAAATTTTTCAGATAAATTGTGAGGTTATGTAAAAAAGGTGTTTATACAAAAGTTGTAGATATTTTCATTACCTACAACATTGTCATATAACTTTTTCTATAGGACACATAGTTACACCGGAATTCGAGATAAACCGTTTTTAACCGTAAGAAATTCAATCACACTCTTCCTCTTCACCTCAGACCTTAGAGCGCCCGTAAATAATGTTTCCTTTAAGTTTTTATTTTATCTTTCGTTCCCATTTTGTTTCAACGTACTTTCACGTTTTGGCATTTTCAAAGGCTTCTGCACTAGTCTAATATAATAAATAAATAAAATAAACATAAAGGTAATACATTATATAATAAAGAAATTGACTAATTGATAAAATTAATTTAGTTCAAAAGATAATTGAAGAAAAAATAACAAAAAATAGCAAACAATTTTGGGTAAATTAAAGCAGCAACCCGTAGAAATGGCAAAACAAGTCCGTTGCTTAAGTCTTTCGTTCTTTTATTTTATTGCAGATATGTATGTAATCCAACCAATTTGTAATAATAACGACGCTGGCGATTTATAAAAAAATGACTGCAAATTGAAATGACAAAATGCAACAAAATCTGAATAATACTTAAATGCCACAAATTATTACAAGCAAGTTTACAGTAAACAAAAATATAAAATTAGTGCAAAAGAAAAAAAGGTAAATTACAACAACAACAACAGAAATGTGAAAAAAACAACAGTGACGGCAATTTATATCTGGTGACTTTTAAGAACAAGGCACAACAACAACAGTAACACAATAGCAACCAAAAAATATAAATAAAACTATTTTTTCAAACAAATAATAACGAGGATACAAACAACTGCAGCAGCATAACAATGGCAGTCAGCAACACCAACAACAACAATTGTTGCATACGGCAAATGGAGTGCGCGAGTGCGGAAGTGGCAAGTAGCAAAGCAGCAGGCAGCGCCCAAGTTCTAATGCATTAGAATATCGTGCTCATTATCTGATTATTGTTATTATATGCTATTATGATTATATTTACGTTTTTATTGCAATGCAGATTTGCTACAAAAATAATATGTACTTGAAAATAAAAAGACAAATAAAAAACTTTTAAATACACAAATAAAAAATAAGCTGGATTAATAAAAGCAAATGACCAAGCACATAAAAAATTTACAGTAACTTACAGCAGGCAGCTCACTTAATGCTTAACGATTGTGGCCGCCAGCGAATGTTATGTGACAAGTGTGCTTTGCGCTTGCCACACTCCAGCTGTTGTTGCTGTTGTTCTTGCTTAAAGGACGCCTACAACACGGCGCTGTTTCAAGCTTTCATTGTTCTGCAACCGCTATAGTTGTTACTTACATCTAAGCTTTTTTTTTTTTTGGGCACTGCGACTGCTGTTTGCTTTTGTTGCACGGCCGCTGGCGGTCAATGCAACAACGTTGCAACTTTTTTCACTCGCAACGCCATAGTTAACAATGACCAACAATTATTAATTTCTGTTGTCGTTGACTTTGAATTGCCTTTTGAATTTCGCATTGAGTGTTGCAAATAAAAGCGCAAAAAGCAAACAAATTTATTCTGGCAAAATTGAAAGTTTTTAATGTGGCGGAAAATTGCTGGTGCTTGCATTATAAGTAGGAGATTTGTTGGTTATATATTGTATATGCATTTTCTTTTTTTGGGCAAAAAGTTAAGTTGTAGTTATGCAGCCACCCAGATGTAGATGTTTTGTCGCTGTCTCATGGTTTTCTTTGCAGAAATTAATTATTATAATTTTTTTTCATTCAACTGAGTGCTTTTATTAGAAAGAAGCATTTTTTATCATAAATGGATATAAAAAGACATTTGTTCTGATATTGATCGGCCAATTTGGATAATAGCTATAAGCTATATTAGTCCGATCTGAACAATACATTCGGAAATCGTGCCAATGCCTTGGATAACAATCTATGTAGCGGCTTTAGTTTGATCGGTCAGTTGGGATCGGTCAGATGGCAGCTATATATTATAGTAATGCGATCTCTCAATTTTTTTCGGAGAATGTAGCGATGTCTTGGATAATACTTTTTGCCAAATTTCTTGAAAATTCTTCGTCAAATGAAGAAGAAAAGATCGGCTGCCGGGTCTGCAAGTTATGAAATAAAATTTAAATAAAAATTGCTATTGCTTCAATGTCATTTCTGTCAATTTTAAAGCTGAATAAAATACTAAAAATTATATAAATATATACATAGGTATATAATATATCAATACTAACACCGCTCCGCATTGAGTCCGTGAGCTGTTCCTCAGCATTGCTTGATTAGCTGCTACTCCAAGCTTTCATTGTTTAACACAAAAATATTCCATAGCGTTTTCAATTTCATTTGCCACCGTCACCCCCCAACTCACTTGCTTTCTATATACCTTCCCCTCGCGCAAATATACAAGTATACGAGCATTTACAAGTTACTCCCCATCAACAAGTTCGTTGCATAAGTCTTTCGTATATCTAATTAAAAGTCCAACAAAGGCAGGTAAATAACAACTCCTTACGTTTGACTGACAAATAAAATGATGCACAAAGCTGAATTATTGTGTTGCTTATCAATTATTGTAATCGTAATTCAATCGCAATTGTAAACGTACAACTACAAAAGCTTACATGAGCGCTCTTGCATACTTAACTCGCTTTACAGGCCTGTGTGTGTACGTGATATGTATGAAAGCGTATTTGTTTTGTTGAATAAGCGATAATGATGCTGATGTTATGCACGGGCGAAAAACAAAAAAGTACAACAAGACTCAGTTGAAAAAACCGATCTTGATAAATGAATATTCGAGTGAGAATAATATACATAAAACATAAGCAGGCAATAATAGAAAATTTAGATTAGAGAAAATTCTTTAATAGATGATTGGGCGAAAACCAACAAAAATCAGCAAAATACCAACAATAGAAAAAAAATATAGAAATGTTTAAAGTGCCTAAAGTAAGTGAGTGGTATTTATTTTATTTGAATTTAGTCTGGCAAGTAATAAATTTCATATCTTTAAGAATGAGAAATATTAATATTTTACTTGAAAAATATATTTTTATTTTATTTTTTATTTAATAGTTTTATCCATTTTATTTTATTTTATATTTTTATCTATTTTATTTTATTTATTTTATTTTATTTAATTTTATTTTATTTTTTACTTTTATTTTATTTTATTTTATAATCTTATCTTATTTTTTTGGATATACCTATGTATATTATTTTACATTAATTTTTACACCAACTCTTCATGAACTTTCAGTACTTTTACTTCCATCAAAAAATAAGTGGAACATATTTAAATTTTTTTCTAAATATAAAAAATATACCTTTCAACCTCTGTTATGTTCGTTTTATGTGCACATACATACATATATATCATTATATGCTGTTTTACTCTATTTCTTTCTTAATTTTAACTACAAACAATAAATAATTGCCTTTACCTTCCTTGAAGTGCGATCAATACCAATCAAA